ATACAAAAAGCAGGGCCTTTTCTATGCAAAATTTTCTATGCTTCCGAGCTGGAAGAGGGCAGGAATATAGGGAACGAGCGGCTAACCCTAACACTACCCACCACACAGAGCATGCAGAGAGGCCTCTACCATCGCAGCTCATGGAAATGACACCACTATGCTCCTGCAAACAATTAGGAAACAAAACAACACACAAAAACCCTGCCAGCAACACACAAGAAATGGAAGATAGCGTTTCATCCTCATTTTTCACAAACCATCTCAAGACAGCTGCAAAAGTAGGTGAGGAGATTCAAATGAGCATGACTTCTGAACTAACTCTCGCAGCCAAGATGCACTTAGATGATGCACTTTGTTCTAGGGACCTTGGGAACTTGAGCATCTTCTCTCCAGCAGCATGCCTACTCAGATCTTTTCCCATCTTTTCCTCTGAAGGGCTGGAAACCATCGAGATCTGCCCTGTGGCCTGCACCAAAGCGATGCTCTCCAAGCTAGCTCTGCTACCTGATGAACTTTCTCCACTCACAGATTTTCAGTGCACGGATCTAGATGTACATCTTTGCCTGTACAAAGCGAACACCTCTAAAATGTGTGCCTGTTTCAGCACCGACCTCTCTCTGTGTGGACAAACCCCTGTCAGCGCATGTCTGCTCCTTGCTGCCTGCCCAAAGCCCTCCGCAAGCTGGACCCCGTCCCTGCCTTCACCACTGTCGTATTTAAGGAGTGCTGCTGTGCTACAAGGAGGATATTTGAAGTGTGAGCACTGAAATCGCTTTCAGCATACCAGAAGCCTTCCAGCTGGCTCAAGAGGAGCGAGGCTTTGAGGCACTCGAGTTTGACATCTCTCCACTAGCGCAGTTGGGAGCAGCCTCAGAAGCGTTTCCACCACCAGGGGAATAACAAATCTGACTCACCAAGATGGAAATAGTTAAGCAGAGGGGAGCAGCAAAGAGGGAAGAAAATCTGTCAGGAAGGCAGCAACGTGAAGGAGCGAACCACAGCACGCTTCACGCCGCGCCGCTGGAGCGGCCACCCCTCCTCAGCCTCTGGTTTAGTCATTATTATAAAAAACAACACACAAAGCCCTGACGAAATTAGCTGATGAAGCACCGCAGCGTGTCACTGGGAAGGAAATTGAAAAGCTAATTTGCCTCGACATTTCTCGGTATAAACACCTGCAGTCCCGTGGCAGCTTTAAGTCACTGGAGCTCAACGTGCCCCAGACCTCCAGGTAGGGAAAGTTGCTAAAAAACTGATGCCCAGAGACCTTCCAGCAGCTCATATTCTGAAGTAAAAATGCTGGAGACAATGAGGTGCTAGGAAAGGAACAAATCACTTATCCCAAGATTTAAGAAAACCTCAGAGCTGGTATTTTTTGCACTTATGTCCTTCCACCCAAGCTCCCATGAAACTCCCCTAACTCTGTTTATAAGTAAACACTCTGGCTGGAAGACTTTCTTTTTTTAAAAGTAGCACTGAGTTCTCAAGGTCTACAAGCACACCAGTAAGTGCCCATGCAGCGATGGCAGGATTTTTCCCCCCCGTTACATTGCTGCCCAAAAATCTGGCAGGATTCAGCTTCAGCTGTGCTCTCCAAACAAGAGAGCGCTTCTTACTGCGCTGGCCAAGCGACGAGAGGAAGGGATTTTCGGACAGGACACCACAAGCAGCTGTCTGCGAGTGTCAACAGCTGGAAGTTGAAGCACGTTCCCCTAAAATAGAGGAGAGGGCAGCGGGAGATCGACACGTGGGGCACGATGAGGTGACAGACAAGAACAAGTAAGGGCTTTCCAATCTAGTCCCTACGGTAAATGTTGATAGCTCTTCGGGCCTGGGTTTTAAGAAAACATCAGTGTGACTAACAAATTTAGGAAGTCCTGAAACTAAATCTTGCGTTGTTTTTGGCTTAGTGCGAGGAATCGGCTTTAATGACAACCTATGGTTAGCTGTAGTCATTTTCTTTCTTCCTCATTGACATAAATGACAAGACTTCGTTAGCAGGGCTGAAATTAAAAACAAAACATTTCTCCCTGCTGCAAGGATGCTTAAGCATCCATTGACACCTTGTGAAAAGAGACAAAAACCATCTATTTCAGAGCAACTCCATCACCTTCATTTCAGTTTTCTCTAACATTTGACATCAGGAGTTTTGTTACTTTGCACATCCGTGACCACAGATTTTTCATAATCAAGATTAACAGCTGCGGAAAATGACTGTCAGAAGAGGCGATGCGCATTGCTGTGTCACAAAAATGATGTCTGGCTTAGGATAACAGCAAGAACCCGCTCAAAAGGAGTACTGTTGGGCAATGTGCTCTCTGATTTCTGATTTTTCTCAACGTTTTTAGGATTTAACACAATCCGATTACTAGCATGAGAAGTATCTGAATAGATTCAAGATTTTTATAGGGGGTGAAGTGATTCTGAGCTAAGCATTTTGCCATTTAAGCCTACGCGTGGGGTGCAGGGGAACTCCCAGACAGCATTAATGAAGTTCCTTTAACTGTTTGTAGACTTTTAAGTCTTACGTCCCCAATCTGAAATCAAGCTTGTGCACAGCATCAGCCCCCAACGGCTTCTTCCCTCATTCCCTCCAAATCAGGAGGCTTATTATCTCACTGTTTGTTTGCTCCTATGTCCATTTTTTTTAATTTTTTATTTTTTTTCAGAGGCTTCATGCTACCCTGCCCTCCCTGCAAGCAGCCAGAGGCTTCTCAGCATCCCCAGCACCACGCAGGATGTGCAGGAACTTTGTATGGACAGAGCTAACCCATCAGCAGCACTCACGGATCTCCGAAGCACTGGGACCCCGCTCTGCAGCCCCCCTAAAGCCTCCCACCCCACTGATGTGCCCACTGTAATTAGCAGACCCTTTAAATACTTTTTATTATACGTCTTTAAATATCGTACAATACTAATCTACCTTCCTCTCTCCTAACCACCTGCCCTTTTGCAGCCTCAACATTTTTTATTTATTTTATTTTTTTAAAGAGAGAGCCAATTACAGCATATAGAGAGCGATGTGGTTGGAGGTTTTATTGACGCTTGCTTGGAACGACCTGGATAGCTCTCACAGCTTTACCACTTGTGAATAATGGAGACATTTAAGAGCTGAAGTCAATAAGACGCGTGCTACATAAACGTGAGAAGTATATTCAGAGCGTGCTTCTCTTTTAGGGTGTTCCCCCTGCAGCCCCCATTAATTAATGCTAAGAGGTGGTGAGAACTCGTTAAGCAGCAAGGGCAAAACGAGGCAATTTGATGCCACGTTAGGTGCCCAAGGACAACAAATAAGACGAGGGGGGGAAGGGATGGCAGCACAAGGAACCGCGCTCACACCTCTGGAGGAGTTCCACATCAGTAACCACGAATGGCCAAAACCAAAGCAGAAGGATGCGGTTTGGTTTCTGTTTCACAGGTCTAAAGCAAGAGTGGTGCTTGAACACCATCAGATTTAGAAAAAAACAAATCAAAACCTGTAACAGATTGCTTGATTGCTTCTCCCTGACGTTACAGAACCGCTGCTTCAGGAGCACCTCAAGATGTGAGGAAGAATAAAGGACTAACAAGCAACGATTTGGGGAAGGAAGCTCGTTTCTCCTAAACCCTCAGTCCTGTTAGGAAGGGAATTATGCAAACGCCAAACCTGCAGCACAGCACAGACTTCCCAGGTCTTCCCAATCCAACGGGAATGCCCAGGTGTGAACTTCCCCAGTGGTGATTACGGGAAATAAAACCTCCCGGTTTACTGGAAGTAAGCAAAGGCAGAGGCCTTGGCATGGTCATCAGCATCTCCACCTGGCTGCAAAAAGCTTGCTATAGAAGTCCAGCTCACGGTACGACCAAGAAAAAAGCCTTACTGCCTGTGTAATGAGTTACAGGGCTAGGAGGCAAAATGGGGTGAAGCAATGAAAAACTGGGGATCACCCAAAATGCCATGGCTCAAGCAGCAATACCTTCACTCCTCTGTACTTTGCGTAGCTGAAACTCTTCATAACTAGTTGTTTGGGTTTTTTTGCACGTCTGTCAACAAATTCGTCTTTGATAAAAACATGTCAACCGCTCACAGCACGGTGACTGCCACATCTGTAGAGCTGACCTCAAGCATGTTTCCGATGCACGCAGCTTTAAGCACGACGACGAGTCGCCGATGATTATTTCCCATCAAACCAGTGAGAATTTTCTACATGCACTGGAAATTTGACTTGCTACAAGAGTCCCAGAGGAGCTCCGGCTGATAAATCCTTTTTATTGCTGGAATACCAATTTGGCAATTAGGGGAAGAAAGGGGACGGCAGCGTTATTTTATACGTGCCACTGTTTGGAAGGGGCACGAGCAGTGAGACTCGTGGCACTCGCTGGCACCGCGGTGGGAACTATCCTGACTTAAAAGCGCCGTTTGCCATTTCCCTGCTCCCACCAGGGGAGCACAAAGGCACTCAGTTTGCACTTCTTGGAAGGCGCTGCAGCTATTTATAGCGGGCGCAGTTCAAGGTGCGTGCTGCTGCAGACAAGTGAATGACTTGTTTTCGCGGTAATTGATCTATACAGCGCGGATTATATAAACAGTTGTTTCTTGCTCATTTCCACTCCCCCAGCATCTCCCATGATAAAAATGTACTTGTCAATACAGCAGCTGCTATCAGGCAGCAGAACTGTTAGCAGCTGCAAGGTCTGTAGCTCGGAGCTCTAGGTGAGCTTTGTAAAGATGTGCAGAAAATACAGCTGGGAAGCTTTCGCACGCAGCTGTATACAGATTAGTGCTCTCTCCTGTTTCTCCTTCCACGCTATTCTTCCGCAGTTCACACAAAACACAGAGCCAATTTTCTCAGTTTTCCTTGCTGTAAAACCTGGTTTAAGCATTCGTGCACTGATCTCCTGGAGTTGTCCTACTGCAAACTTGGTTTCCATACCCTGCTTTTGGAAAAGACAGTCAAATTTCTTTTAAAGCTACTACTTCTACTTTAATAGATTATTATTTCCTGCAAGCTTCTCCTTACCTTTCTGCATCTCTGCATAGAAGATGAAGCTATATTGTGCCCGGGAAGCAAACGCAGTGTGTCCGAAGCCACCGACCTCTGTCTGTGCAGTGCTGTAGGACTGTATCATATCGCTCCGCAGGGCTGCGAACCGGGCTGCCTGAAATAGCCTTGCACGGAAGCAATCCCCGACCGTCGACAGAAGCGTTTCACTTCTTCAGACAGTGAAAAATTCACAGCATCAGGGAGGAGACGAAGCACTGCTGGAGACGCGGCGTTCTTCGGGCAGGGAGCAGCAGGAGCCGTGAGCGGGCAGAGATCAGGGGGTGAGGTGGTCAAAGGTGCGCGATAAGCAGGGCTGGCGGCGCGGCGAGAGCTCACGTTCAGCACTCACAAACACGCACAGACCGGAGCTAAATTTGCCTTCTCACTTGACACCAGTCCCCGGGGCGAAACGCAGACAACTGTCCTCGCCTCTCCACCCCCTTAGGGGAGGAAAAAAAAAAAAAAAAAAGCTTTTTTTTTTTTCCTGCACCTATTTATACCAGCGGGCTCTGTACCATCCTCACGCTGCTGCCCAGGGCTGGATGCACATCTCCTCGGCACACAGGACAGCCCAGCCACTGCTGGCCTGCCCCGCTCTCTCCAGTGCTGATATCAGAGCAAATGAGTCTGGGAAGCTGCTATAAACAGGCAGAGATGAAACAACTGAGCTGTTAAACGCAGGTATGAGTGTGTTTATTTTATCTGGCATCAACCGGTGCGTACCTTGTATCGTTCAGGTCAATCAGTTTATCAGAGCTTGATTGGAGCAGGACCCAAACAGCTGCAGTATAACTTTATGGCACAAGGAGTGTCCCCTGTGTGCAAATTCCTTATCATTTATTCATTTTGAAATGTAATTACAACCTGGAGAAGAGAATCAAGGCTGGAACCTGGTTAGCGTACACTCAGAGCTCGGGGCTCTGCAACTCACTTTCATCCACAGACAGAAGCCACGGGAAAGAAGAAAAAACAACTTTGTTTTCCCAGCAGTGATTTACCCAGTTTAATTTTGCTGGTTGTGCATTGCAAAATCAATGCTTACCTAAAGAGCTGCCCGTTGAGCAACACGGCCCGTGGCTCTGTTGCAACTGGAGCCGAGCGCTGGGCGCTGCGCTCCCAACGCCGCTCTCCTCACACGTCCCCTCCAGCTCCGCTCCTTTCCACCCCATGGGAACCATGCTCTGCTTTTCAAGGCTTCAAAAAGTGCAGAATGCACAGCGGGATGCAATAAGCACAGCCACCTGACCTCACCTTTTGGCTCTGCTTTTAACAAGCCACCTTACGGACTGGGCTTTGTGGTTTTCAGCCACGAGCGTTGGCTCGGTGATAAGCGTGCACAGAGCTGCCTGTCCCACGCAGAGGATCTGCAGGCCCCTGCACAGCTCAGCTCTCCCCAAAAAAGAAGGGAAAAGCCCCTGGATGTCACTGGTCTGAACCCACACTGCGGAGATGCCCAGCCTCCTTTCTGGGGAAGGCCATCCTGCAGCGTTACATCGAGTCCCAGCGCCCTGCACTGGCACCTCTGCTTGCCATTACTCCAAAACCAGGTATTTCGTAGAGTTTTTAGGGGACTCACACAAAAACAGTACTAAGCAATCAAATGCAAAGGTGTTTAAGACTACGTGCTGGTAGAGAAAACTCCCTTCAAGCCAAGGCAGCAGCGTATAACATTTGTGCAGCAGAAGGAATTGCAAAGCTGCCTTGCAATTTGTTCAAACATCAGCACCTTCAGACAGGAGTTTATTCCAAGAGGCGATGCAGAAAGCACAACGGAATTGCAAGACACCCGTGGGGGCGCCCCACAAAAGCTGGGAACTATTTTTCATCAATTTTCAACGCAGTGACTAAACTGAAGGAGCTGCATTAGTTGGGAACATACACGTCGGCCCTGAGAGATGTCAGGGAAGTGCAAGTTTCTCAGCTGAACTTTTGCTTTCAAACCTTTCAGACTGCTCGTGAAAACCCCGTCGGTCACCGGTAACGCTGCAATTCGGGCAGGCCCTGTGCTCCCCACACGACCAGCGGGTGCAGACACCGAGGGCTCCGCCGTGCCCCGTGTCCTTTGCTGGGTACCTGCCCCGAATTAGCATCTGGAAGGCACTCCTCGCATCGCTCACAGCAAGGTGGTGCTTCCCTCTCCCTCCCGTAAGGGATGAAAGGTTCATTTATTCGGGAGCCGACTACGGTGGTTCTCCAGCTTACCTGGGAAAGCTTCCCATTCACCACAGGCAAGCGGAGTTTTCGAGACATGAATGTCTGTTTTATGAACATCTGCACGCCGTGAATGCTGCGAGCAGGGAAGTTATAAATGCAAGGATTGTGCACGCGGGCAATACATTATATCTCTTAGGGAAAAAAAACACTAGATGGGAGATGGTCTAAAAGCCTAAAGCAGCACGGGTCAGCGATCAGACTGCCTCATCTTCAAATCCACAAGAACATCCCTAGCTGGGCCCTTCTTCTGGCAGCTCTCCCCAGTGCACTCGTTCAACAAAAGCAGACACACTCCAAAACTCACAGTCCAGGTGCTCCCTGGATAACAGACACAATTACAGCCCCATCACGTGCAAGCCCATCCCATGCAACACCGAGCAACTTCCCCAGAAAGATCCCAAAGCGAAAGGCAGACAGCACAGGAGGCCTCATACCCTTAATGCTCAGCCACAATGCAAGACAATGTTCTCACTTCAATAACCTGCCTACTACCCCCAAAATAGCATCCTATGGACTCAACCTTTGTCCAGCACAGCAGGCAAGACCCTGGAAAAGCAAGATCTGTGGGAGAAGGCAGTGAGGGAATGAAGGCGAGTCCCCTCCCTGGGACGGCAGCTTCTCTGAGCTCTCTTTTTCTGGGGCAAGATCACAAAGCTTTAGAAAGCAGCAGCTGCCTTGGGGCAGGACACGAAGCGATCTGCTCAGCTCTGTGCCATGCTTTGGCTCGCACAGAAAATGCATCATTTTTAGCGGTGGCAGCAAGCCTGCAGGTGAGCGCAAGTTAAAGCAGTGCTATTAAAAAAATTCCACAGACATACGAGGGCCAGCAGTGGAGATAACGGAGGTTTTACTCAGCAGGTTTCATCCACTGTGGAATAATTCCTCCAGATTTCACAGGCATCTTATCCACAGTCTGACACTGGCACCAGGATTTACCCCTCTACCAGAGGACTTTGCTTACGGGATGTTATTTTGTGTGCCTTTTCCTCCTGCTACAGCATCAAGGCCAGGTAAAATCCACACACAAATCAGTGTGATTAATCTGCTGCTTCCAGCACACATCATGTTCAGGCTGGAACAGCTCATTTCACAGCTTCAGAAAACAGCAACAAATTTCACATCGTCCTGCAGCAAGCGGACTTCAGCTACACGCTCCCTTGTAGGACAGAAAAGCCTTACAGAATAAACCCAAGTTTCATCTGGGCATAGACCACAGCGCTGCAATAGTATGATCAATTGACAAAGTCTGCAAGCCAATTTGTATCAGCCTTTAATCAAGAGTTTCTAGCCATTTTCCTTTATTGTTGTCTGTGTTGAGGACAAATTCAAACTTACTACCACGATCCCAATACACACTTACTACCCAGAAGCTGTTTCCATAGCACGGCTCAAATACACAAGCAAAGGACACACGTGCCAGTCCCAATAATGCCATCACCTTTCAGTTATGCATGCAGAAAAGCTTTTTCCATCTACAGGATCTTCTAGCTGCTGCTGGTCAGCTCGGGCTTTCTCCTGCCGCTGTGCAGAAGAGGGCGAGAGACCAGCAGGCAGAGCTGGAGACCGGCCGCTGCACGAATTAATGCTCTCCTTAAAACCCGAGGAGGCAGAACCTGACAGCTCTTAAGTACCATCCACCACAGACACCAGCTTTAAAAAAAAAAATTGCCTCTCTCAGCTCAGCAGTTTGAGTTAAGAGCTCTCTTCAATAGCAATCCTGAAAGCAGGCCCCCCTCGACTGTTTTCTTAGCCCAGCTCCAATTTCCCTTTGAGGGCCAAGACTCACAAAACCAGAAATGTTCTCATTATTACAGCAGCTGATTTGACAGTGAAGAAATCAAATTCTAAGCACTTCCTTGTGTGTGTGTTTTTTAAAACAAATACTTTATTGCCTTGTTATACTGCACACATTTAAGTCTCCTTTCAATTTGCACAATTTTGGATACGATAAAACAGACGAGCGCGACAGCATAAATAAAAGGGACAGAAGACCAACTGGCTATATACTGGATGAAATGCACCCCCCAAAACCTCAGACTTTTAAGCAACTTGTACTTTCTTGCCTGTTTTCACTAGCAGTCATGTGCTCGTGCATGCAAAACACATGGCAGATGTTGGCTGGTGTGGGACGGAAAAAATTCACTCTGGATGGCCGTACGGTGCTGAGTTCACTCTACACGGATGAGCTGCAGAGGTGCACCTGAATCCTTCACCACACGGTTCCCAGGAAGGCGATACAAAAACAAAGAAAAAAACATAAAACTGAACAAACACTTCCAGCTGGAAAGAGCGAGGTTTGGGGAGGCTGTGATAAGAGGTTTTCTCACTGACTTCACCAGCACCCTGCGCTCCCTGCTGTGGGTAGATGTCCAGGAGCCCTGCGAGGCTCAGCAGCAGCAGGAGGTGCCAGGGTTCTCTTTTCAGAGCTCCCTCACAGGTTAGGATTATACCAGACTTAAAACAGCATTGATGTTTTGCAGGATCAGACATGGAGCTGATGGATGGAGCCGATGCAGGCACTTGATGAACCAACTCAGTACGGGCTGAGGGGAGGGAGGGATAAAAGAAGAGGTCAGCTTCCGAACCTGAAGTATGGAGCAAGAACTGAAGAAGTGGCAGTGAACATTTTGGAGCCTGAATCACAAATCCTGCACTTCTTGGGCTGGGTCTACCTGAGAGCCCAACCTAGGAGCTGTAGCCTGACACAAACACGTAGAGAAAAAGTTCTGCTTCTCAGCTTCAGCTAACCAGCCCAGCCCAAGTTTCTACTCCACGAGTGCTTTTTCACTTTAGCTTTTCTTCCAGCCTGAAAACAAGGTATTGATGCTTCCTCTCGATTTCCTAGACATTTCAACAAGCCCCACGGGGCCCAATATTGCATTCCGTTTGCAACAGCTCCTGCCTACGGATTTGCCACAGCAGGCAAACACGTTATGACATTGAGACCAAGACCCACACACGGAAACTCGCTGCCCTCTCCTCTAAGAAAGACCATCTGCTGGGCCCCCAGCCATGCCTGCAAGCTCCTCACCCCTCAGCAGGTATCGCTGCATCAGCTGAAGCCTCATCCTTTGGAGAACTGGCCCGGCTCTGAGCTAGAAAGTTGGCAAAATAACCAAAGTTGCAACTCCGCAAAACAGCTAAAGCCAGGGTTAAGACACCTAATGGCTCTCTAGATAAAAGTTTTGGATTAAGTATGTGGTAATGGGATAATCTGTGCATAAGA